TCTGCAGGAAGAGATGTTGAAATAAAACCAATCATCGTTTCAGGGATCAGTGAAAAAGCAGCACACACGCAGAGGGTATCCTTTCATTTGAAGGGCACCAAAAGACTCGGTTCCCTGATGCAGCCCAAGCTGTGGCAATGTATAGGTAACGCCACCGTGGCAGAACGGCGAGCACACCGGACTTGCATTCCAGAATTCCCCCAGTTCTATTCAATCTCCCAGGCATGGCAGTTGAATAAATGGGCACATTTCTTAAATGCCCTCCCCCCCCCCCCAATCTCTGTCCTCCCGAATACGCCACAGTTAGTCGATCGGCAGGTTGCATGTGATGGGGCAAACTGTGGGTACTCCCAACACAAGCGCTGCTGGGCCTTGTGTGAATTGCGTTAAAAAACCTGAGTTTTACCCACTTGCTTACTTCCAAGATGGTTGGGCCAGCTTGGTGAGAGTTGGCCAAATTACCTTCGAGAGCAGCCTCTCTGGGTGAGGTCTTTCTACAGGCAGAGGCGTAAGCTGCACTCACCTTTACCTTTGAACCATGGCTAGTAAGGTAAACTATCATATTGACACTGGCATTTGGGCCTCCCATCAAGTGCATCAGAGCAGCTTCAAGTAATTTTCTTTTTTTTTTACATGCTTATGACTTGTTCACTCAAAGGTGTGTAAGATGTATTGCCAACAAACTCAGTCCAATTCCCAGCCACACCGAAGAACACCGATATCTGAGCCAGACCTGGCCAATCCCTTGTACCAACCTTCACTGGATCCCATGGTAGAGTATCGTCAGACAACCTACGTCTCTTAAAGGTGTGGGCATGCCTTCCTCGAGCAGTGTACTGACAAACGGCTGAACATCATTATTATGAGGTGCTACAGAAATACAGTTAAGATAAGATTAATTAGCCACGAAAAAAGACACTCGTGTTCCCACAACCCCAGCTACCAAGCTTACTATCTACAAATGCCAAAACATGAATGTACACTAACAATGAGCATATAATCCAACTCGAGTGCCTTTGGACGTGTTCTGAACAATCACATCTGATTTCAATACAGTCAGCTCTCAGGCAGGCTGAACAACAAACAAACGCACGCACATAAATCACGCTTTAATTGTACGAACGAACACAGTGTTTGGGTATAAAAAATTAAACAAACCTAAGGACACTCACCGCATCAGCGACACAAGTGTCAGGGAGGCAAGGGCTCAGGATTTCACATTGCACACACCACAACCGGATTATATTCCTACCACGTGCACAGCGGCTGCACAAGATTTAAAAAACATTTTGCCAAGTGGCGATGACTGACGTGGAAATTGTGACCGTATATATATCAACAGCAGTTGTCATCTTGTAGCTGTTTTATTATCGTTCGCGTTTTTTTGTTATATTCTGCGGCCTATATTTTTTTGTCCCGCCCCTCCGCCACCAAAAAAAAAAACGATTTTAATTGAGGATAAAAATTATGAATTCCTTGTCATTAACACCATATAGGTGTCACAGTGTATGAGATGGTATCTATCTTGGTTGGTATACAGGAAGTCGTTGATTCTAGATTTGAAGCTTTCGTGACTGCAAGAATTCATATTCTTAGGTTTTTTCGGTAAAGTCACGTAGGTAAAACATCAAAATTAATAAAAATAAAATAAAACAAAAAGTGATTTTTTGTTTTATTTTATTTTTATTTTTTATTAATTTTGATGTTTTACCTACGTGACTTTACCGAAAAAACCTAAGAATAGGAGGTCGTTGGTTCGATCTCAACCCTGATGCCTATATATTTGGAGTTTGCATATTCTCCCCGTGGTCGCGTGAATTTATCTCCGCGTCCTCCGGTTTTCCCTCCACGTTTAGAGACATGTGTTTAGGGTATTTGGCTGCTATACATTTCCACGTAATAAGCCACTTCGTTGAGCTATCATTTGTGGCCACGTCGCTTCGAAAAAAAGAGCTATATCGCCCAGTGAGCCTTACCTGGTCAAAAAAATAAATGTTTGTTCATATTATAGCCGGATTTTCCAGTTTATAAGATGCTCTTGAAAGTAGGGCACATTCCCAAACCTGTGCCCGCTGTAAATACAATTACATGGAACTGCTCACACACGCGCACACGTGCGCGCACGACTCCTGGCTTATAAAACGCATCCCCTACTTTTGCTTTAAATTGCAAGGGGAAACAAGGGCATATGGTCTGCGTAAGTCGTGCAATATTCAGAAAATACGTCCCCGTTCGAGAAGCGTTTGAACACTCGAGCAGTTCACTTCGTGTTATAACAAAAAAAATCATCTCTTTGCCAATCCACTGCTGGATGAAGGCCGCCCCAGTAAATATGCAAACGTTCAGTCAACGTTTCCATGAGGTTGGAACCGTTGGACCAACATTGGCCCCACGTTCCACGTTCACTGGGTCCCCCACCACGTGTCGGTCGTCAGAGGTTGATTGGGCATACTTCACCACGCTGCTTGGTACCGTTCGGCGCATGGGCGGGAGAGACCCAGAGCCGCCCCAGATATCGCCCGCCACTGACGTTAGCCGTGAGTGGAAATCGAACGTATACGGACGCCGGGTTCACGGTGCGGTGAGCCAACCTCTGCGCCACCGCTCCCAGTAAGAAGCGCACAACAGGATACGTACGGTATGTTGCACTCCACTGATCCTACGTGTAGCGCATGCATTATATCTACGTGCATGCACACAGGGTAAGCACGACACTCATGCGTACACACACACACACATAGGCACAATGCGACGTAAATGCACAATGCGTGAGCACGTGTATTCGCGGGTTAAATACGGCGTCGTGTTAAAGTAAGTGCGTGTGTGGGCTTGGGTAGTAATAACAACGCCGCGAGAAGGGTTTGATGGACCGATGGTCAAAAAATAATAACCAAGTGGCTGGCAGCTCAAGGGATGGAAACGCGGCTTCAATAGAGAGAGCGCGTCCACCGAAGAGAGATGGAGCGCTGAGATTGGCTCGTGCGCAGGTGGCCACGTGGATTGATGTACTATCGCGTGAACGTGAGAGATGTGCGATGGTTTGGAGAGGCATTCATCCAGCAGTGGATCTTTGCGTGGCTGGTGATAACACACAACCGGCTCTAAAGCGCACAGAGAAAGCCCGTCCAGGCTACTGGGGCAAAGTGCTTCGGTAGCACCCAGCACTTATTCAGGAAAGGCAAACACCATGGAGTGGGGTGGCCAACACCACCACCACCACCACGCCCGGCCGCCTTTATCTCCCCAAGTGCTGATGATTCACACAATCACACGCACGCACATACACGCTGAGTGATGGATAGCGTTCGCGAGTCGGGCCAGTGTGGATTTTATTATTCTTCCTTCGGATTTGCGGACGCATTCCAAGTTAAACGCTCGCGAGGAGAACAGAAAGAAAGGAAACAAATTTTTAAAAGAGCACCGCCTTAAGAAATGTGCCCGGGTCGCACGGAACCCTCGGCACAATCTGCCGCTCTTCTGCAGCCCCCCCACCCCGCGTGGCAGGTGCCGTGTGGTATCGCGACGTCGCGGTGTCGTGACGCTTGCGGCTTGTTTGAAGCCTCAATTCAAGCAGTGGATCCATCGTGGCTGATGGTGGCGGTGGCGATGATGATGATGATGGCATTCGATCACATTGCACGGGCACACCATTACATGCGCTTTGTCGTGTGGAGGTGGCGCGTTGATGCACAACACACACGCACAACGACAAAGGTCCCCCGTACAGCCTTAACAGACTGTTGGGGCAAGTGCTGTTAGCGAGCAGCTACGAAGGGCGGCACGGCACACGAGGTGTGTTGGCCAACACCGCGCCCGGCCGCCTTTGTCTCCCCAGTGGCGATGTTTTATTTTTTTACGCACCGAACCAGGTACTCATTTGAGGCTGAGTCGACCTAGGGGATGCCCATGACCGGTTCCGATAATCGTCACACTGGTGTTGGCCGTGAGTGGGAATCGAACACGTGTCGCCCGGCTCCGTAGCGCAGCGTAGCGCTGACCGCTACAACTGACCACACCATAGGCAAGCTCATGCACACTACATTCACATACGTACATTCACGCGAGCAGGAACATCCCCTACACTCTCTACCTTCGGCTATGTGTACATTCTAAGAACATTCCACGTGTGCGCTTCAATATCCACATGCGCGTATTCATTACAGAGCTTACGCACTCAAGACCCACACACCATGCACACGCACGCAGATGCACCCCATTTGCGCGCGTGTACACAATCGCACGCGCAGGTATTGCAAATGTACACAAACGGGCACGGTTGAACAACGAACACGCATCCCGTTCATCCACCCGTCAATCATTAGACGCAATTGTTTGTGATGCCGCCGCCGCTGCTGCCGCTACAGCCGCTTTGGCAACGGTGCGTTTGCAATCAACGACGCTCACTGAACACGTGCAGCGGAGACATCGTCTCTCGCAACGAAGAAGGGCAACTGCCCGAAACGTCGCTAAATGTTTGTTTAAAAAAAAATATATAACAAACAAAAAATGTCACGGCATTCACAGTGCGCGCATCAAACAGCGGCGTCTCACTCGGCAAAAGAGGCAGGGTTAATCTTACCCGTCCCAGAGCGAGTAACAGAACGCAGAGAGAAACATGCCTTGCTCTTTTTTTTACCATCAGTGGAAACAAGAAGATGCTCGGTGTATTCGGCACTTTGCTTCGTTCATCATTTCTTAATATTTTTTTTAAATAATAACTTTGCTTTATGTAAACCCCCACCTCTCGCTCACTCTCTCGCTCTCTCTCTCGCTCTCTCTCTGTCTACCTCTCTACCTCTCTCGCAGCGTGCTGGAGATGTGCCACTGTCACATCGCATCGTTAAATAAAAGCCAATGAAATAAAAATCAACAGCGACCACCGCACACCGACGAGGCTACTCGCCGCGCAAGTTGTACACAATGGAAGCACACCTCTCATACGATGGACCCCCCCCCCCCAACCCGCCTCTAACCCCAATGCCCCTGGTCACACTGCTCACCGTACGGTAGCCGGCGGGCGGGCGAGCGGGAGCACAAGCGGCGGCGCGCAGTGTCAGCTGCCTGCCGGCTGAGCTGGCTGAGCTGAGCTGGCTTCTGCTTCTGCTGCTTCTGCTCTGTGGCGAGTGCGCATGGGATGAGCGCAGTGCCCGGACTGGGGGTGGGGGGGGGTACCGCCTGCTCCATCTGACATCATCGCGGGCTGAGCCCGCCCGCACGCCCGCACGCACGCGAGGGGGTGGGGTTAGCACGGGCGCGGGAGCAGAGAGAGAAGCGAGCGAAGCAGCGGTAGCAGGAGCAGCAGCAACAGCGGTAGCAGGAGCAGCAGGAGCAGCAGCAGGAGCGGCAGCGGTAGCAGGAGCAGCAGCAACAGCGGTAGCAGGAGCGGTAGCAGGAGCAGCAGGAGCAGCAGCAGGAGCGGCAGCGGTAGCAGGAGCAGCAGCAACAGCGGTAGCAGGAGCAGCAGGAGCAGCAGCAGGAGCGGCAGCGGTAGCAGGAGCAGCAGCAACAGCGGTAGCAGGAGCGGTAGCAGGAGCAGCAGGAGCAGCAGCAGGAGCGGCAGCGGTAGCAGGAGCAGCAGCAACAGCGGTAGCAGGAGCGGTAGCAGGAGCAGCAGGAGCAGCAGCAGGAGCGGCAGCGGTAGCAGGAGCAGCAGCAACAGCGGTAGCAGGAGCAGCAGCGGTAGCAGGAGCAGCAGGAGCAGCAGCGGTAGAAGGAGCAGGAGCAGCAGGAGCAGCAACAGCAGTAGAAGGAGCAGCAGCAGGAGCAGCAGCAGCAGGAGCAGCAACAGCAGTAGAAGGAGCAGCAGCAGCAACAGGAGCAGCAGCAGCGGCAGAAGGAGCAGCAGCAACGGTAGCATGAGCAGCAGCAGGTGCAGCAGCAGGTGCAGCAGCAGGAGCAGCGGTAGCGGTAGCAGGAGCAGCAGCAGCAGGAGCAGCAGCAGCGGCAGAAGGAGCAGAAGCAGCAGGAGCGGTAGCGGCGGAAGGAGCAGCAGCAGCGGTAGAAAGAGCAGCAGCAGGAGCAACAGCAGCGGTAGCGGCAGAAGGAGCAGCAGCAGCGGTAGAAAGAGCAGCAGCAGGAGCAACAGCAGCGGCGAGCAAGCAAGCGGCAAGGAGACGAAGAAGAATCAGCTCAAGCAGCTGTTGGTATTGGAGTAGCGAGTGACGATGCGATTGATCATTGATGATGATGATGCCAGAAACAAGAGTGGTAGCAGAAGTAGCAGCTGTGGTCGTAGAAGCGGTAATGATATAATAACCAAGAGTGGGACCGGCAGCATTAACATCAGTAAGAAACGGCTGGTGGTTGTAGTGATGATGATATCAGGAACAAGAGTGGTAGCAGCAGAAGCAGCAGCAAAAAGCAGCTGTCATAGTAGTGATGATATCAGAGACAATAGTAGGAGCAGCTGCGGTGGTAGTTGATGATGATATCAGGAAGAAGATTGGGAGCAGCAGAAGCTGCATACGCAAAAGCAGCAGCAGAGGCACGGTAAAGTCACGTAGAAGGGAAATAATAAAATAATAAAAATAAAACATAAAAAAATAATTCTCACGACGTTTCGGCCACAACGCAAGCAGCCGTCCTCAGGTGAAGAACAGGTCTGTCGGGAAGACAGCTGCTTGCGTTGTGGCCGAAACGTCGTGAGAATTATTTGATTATGTTTTATTTTTATTATTTTATTATTTCCCTTCTACGTGACTTTACCGAAATAACCAAGAAGATGAATCCCTGCAGTCACGTAAGCTTTAAATCGAGAAAGAGAAGAAGAGTAACAGTTAAGACAACAACAGAAACAGCGTTGATGACAGTCGTAATATTAACAGCGCACGAATAACAGTGGCAGCAGCAGCTGTAGTAGTAAACGTAACGTCAGAACGGCCCAAACTAGAGAAGCAGCTGCTGGAACAAGAGTAATATTATCAGAAACAGACGCATCGGAATCGCTTCGTAGGGGGAGTAATATCAAAAACAACCGTAGACGTAGCATCATAAGCATAACAAGCAGTCGTAAACAAAAGATAACGCAGCGGCAGCTGTAACAGCAATGCTTAAACAACAGAAGCAACAGTGAGGGCTGTATCAGCGGAAGCAGCAGAGCAGTGGATTAGCAGCTATATTGAACCAGGTGCAGTAAGAAGCAGTAGCGGCTACAGAATCATCAGCAAAAGCAACAGAAAGCAAGTGGTGACATTTGGCTGACAATGATCATTATTGATTGTATCAATATTAAACCTAAGCACGGCAATAGCCCTAAGCCACCACTATCCATAAACCTCGACGAAATATAAAATGTACACTTGCCAACATATATAATCAAGGCTCTGGGCTCTGGGGCTTATTTACATTAAAGCTAGAAGGTGAAGATGTTGAGGGACTCCAGATTGGGTGTAATCCTAAGTCACCGTATCGGTTGTATACAACTTAGATTAGCATGATTCGCATGAACATATGTCGCGGTTTAATGGATCCACATTTGCTTGGTGTGATTGGAATCCCGCTGAGAAGACAGAGGAGCACATGGACTCGAGAATATTGCAAGATAACTTGTTAGGCAACGTAAGTATAGGCTTGGGCAGGACACGTAAACTGGAAGGTTTCGTGGCCGATGGTCAAGAGTGATCGCAGAGTGGCAGCCAAGGAATGGAACTCGTCAGCTTGCGAACAGGGGCCGAGTGGGTTACTACGCAGCATGGCTGTGGATTTGGTTAGGGTTTCATCCAGCAGTGGATTGACCAAGGCTGATAATGATGTATTTACGTATCTCCATGCTGCGGCACCCCAAAGCCAGCTATAGTGAATACAGCATTCACGCCACAGCTAACCACGGCCTCGCTCGAAGCAACGTGCCAGTTTATAGGGCCCACTGATTACGAATATGTTGTGATTAAAATAGCCTGCGTGTAATCACCGTGATTTCAATGTGGATAACAGACGTGAATAGCAACCAAAAGAAATTGGACGAAAAATGGCATGTTCATAGTGGAATAGGTAAGACTTACATTTTTGAAAGCGGGATACTCGGCACTTTAAGATTAAAATGCTTTGCATACATTTGCAACAAGCTTCATTTTATTGATGACCTGTGGCCTGGGCACGGGTCCACATGTAACGCAGGCTCCCAGGTGCCCCGGCTGGCTGTTATTATCATTTACTTGATACAGCTGTCGTGGCTGTGACGGTTCCACCTGAAGACGGAAGCTTGTGTTGCCTCCGAAACGAGGTGATTTTTATTTTATTTTACTTTTATTAATTTTAATGTTTTACCTACGTGACTTTACCGAAAAAACCTAAGAATATGAATCCTTGCAGTCACGAAAGCTTCAAATCTAGAATGTTATTATAGGATATCCCTGAATTGTGTGAGAAAATCTGCCTCAAGAAAGCAAAGTGTGCCGAATGTCATGTTAAATATATGCAGTCTATTCGCACGAGCGTACGCCCACGGGGAGATTCCACAATACAGCTGTTTTGTTTTCCATTCTGGCAAGCGGTGAACATGATGTTGCTATAACGATAATACCCAAGAATTGTTACCTTACATGAATATGAGGATGCAGGCGATGGTGATACAGTAATGGATTGAATCAATCTGTGCGGAGGTTTTAGCGTCATTCCATCTTGTGTATGGGTTTTCTTTTTTGTTTATGCTGTGTTCTGATATTCCCACATGCCAAATAATTGTACATGGAATTGGCCCAACATCTCGATAGAAAATATATTAAAACTCATTTTAACCTTTTCTGGACAAATGTCATCATTATTATTATGATCCGCTATGAGTTGTAGTCAAATGTATTCCACAGTAGACATATCCTTGTGCTATAATTGAGACGTTCTCTATATGACGATAATAATAATAACGACAGCGATAAAAATGGTAAAAACGATGCATCCTTGCAATGACTCGCTCACACCACAGTCGGTGAGTGAGTCCTCTACGAGAAAGATCTCGAGAAGACCACCTTTCGCCAGGAATTTGGGCCAACTCTTCCCCGCTGGACAGATGTCTTGGGTGAGGTGTGAAGCAACACACACTTTCATTCCACCACGTGCCGACCTGCCGATTCCACCCACTGTGGCGTTCCCATTGAAACTGCCGGGTGGACAGAGGCGCGGGGGTGGGGGGGGGAGAGAGCAGGTTTATTGCCATGCAGGTAAAACAAGGTCAACATTCTCAACGCAACGTATCGATAATGGTTCACCCCACCACAAAGAACGACTGGTGCGTACGTGAACGCCCGTGTGTTGTGTGGCGGCCGACCGCGTCTGAAGTTTGAAGAAACCTCGCAGCAGATAAAGCGGTTTCCACCCCCACCCCCCCCCATGTGACAAGGCCTGTTGGAAGCATTAGGTTTGGTGGCGGTGTTTCATTGTGTGTGACTTGTCACAACGGCAGTGGTGGTGGCCCCAGCATGCCTCGTGTTTCCCCCCCCCCCCCCCGACTGAGTGTGCGACGGATGCTGTGCGAGTTTGTCTTTTTTTTAGCTCGCCGTGCTTCGTGGGAGCGTCGGCAATTTGTAATGTCGAGTTTAAGGGATTCGTGTCTGCTCGGCTCGCAAATGCATTCTCAATCAGAATTAACCGTCCGCTATGCACTGCCGGAATAAGGTCGCCTCACTCAGCCACCGCCCCACACATACATCGCAATTATTGGGCCATAATCCATCTCGCACAGCCCGCACCTTCGCCAGTGTTTTGCATCCAATGTGTCCTAGTAGTGACTGAGCGAAGTGAGTGATGTAAATTCTAAGGGCGTTCTAAACTGAAGGTGGAATGCATAATAGAGGGTTTTGGGGTAGATTACGTAAATATAAATGAGTCGTTAAACTCGCCACCACCTGACACGGCCAATTAGTAACAAAGCATGCGAATTCGTTACTAGTTCAACACACCGGTGTGATGGAGAGTAAACGAATTGTAGATGTTGTGGGTTTGCTCTCCAACACTGAACTAGTAACGAATTTGAATGTTTTATTTACGTGACAAGCCTTACTAACGACACATTTATATTTACGCAATTTAACCCAAACCACCTTTTATGGATAATATTGGTCGTGAAAGCCTACTACTGTGTGTTAAACTG